TATATATATATATATATATATATATATATAACAAGCAGGGCATTGGGTGTTTCACATACCTCACAGGGGTTTACCACATATCTATTATCACTGTCAAACCCGTAGCACCATATTTGAAGTATACAATTACATACAACAGTTAATTCTGGTCATTGAATCTGCATTCCAAAAGCACTGATATAACAGTCCAAAAACACTGGAACTTGATACTGTCTGTATCACTCTGATTGTATAGGTATGCACATTCCAGACAGACTGTTAGGTTTTCAGTGCCTCTTTCTGTAGGTTACATCATTATGCCAGTAGATGGCAACAAGTGGCTGTCATCGAATCATTCACTCAAAGGATTTGTTCAATAACACTGAATCATTCAGGAACAAAATGTTTTATTGGTTGAGCAAAGGCAGACGAATTAACTGGCAACGTTGTGTCTACAATGCAAGTTATATAACTTATTATTTATTGAACTATTAAAGGAATAGTTCACTCAATAATGAACAGTTGTCAAAAATCTATCCATAATATTGCTTTCTCTAGTGAAAAATCCATCTTGTCTGAATCAGGAGAGAAATCAAACACTGTTTGCAAACGAAAACAGTCCAATAGAGTTGTAAGCAAATATATTGGTATAAGTAAAGCATTACAATATTGTGTTACTCCCTAAAAAAGTAACACATTATGTTACTTAGTTACTTTTTATGGAAAATAATATATTATGTTAATTTTGCGTTACTTTTTCCCATCTGGGCTGGGCTTGATTTTTGATATTTAATATAAAAAAATTATATTTTGGCAAATGTAAAAGCCCTTTCACACCAAAAGTGAAACGAATAAGCCTCAGGCTGAAGGAAATATGCATTCACATCTGTACAGTAGAGAAACAAACCTTTCAGCTGTCATTATGGATTGCATGAATAATAGGACACAGGAGAAGAAAGTTTGACATTCATAAAAAAAAAAAAATCCAAATGTTATGTTTATCTAAAGTCATTTTTGCTTATTAGTTTGGTTGAATTGGATCATCGAAGGTCAGCAGCAAAGACATTGGTTAATAAAATCGGATTAAATACATAAAGGATATTTGTGTTATTTAACATTATTGCAGGATTCTGAGTTTGCATTTCACTGTTTTTATTCATTTTGAGGAATACTGAATCTGTTTTTGTGCAAGTGCGATGTGCATGTTCACATTTACTGCACTTACTCCCAATTTCTCTCAACATGGGCTGTCAATAAATGGGAAAAGAAAGTAACTTATTTGAAACAGTAACTCAGATATTTTCTTGTAAATTAAAAAAGTAATGTGTTACTTTGCTAGTTACTTAAAAAAGTAATCTGATTACGTAACTTGCGTTACTTGTAATGCATTTGCTCTATAATGCTATTTTTGGCCAGAAGTGATGGTTCAAAGTTAAAACGTCTTAATGGTGTATTATTTTGTTTCTTACAAACACACAGCTTTTCACTGCACAGGATGTTAACTACAGTCATGTGGATTATTGTGATGTTTTTATCAGCTGTTTGGACTCTCATTCTGATGGCACCCATTCACTGTACAATGCACCGTGTGCAAGTGATGTAATTCTACATTTCTCCAAATCTGTTCCAATCTCATCTACATCATGAATGGCCTGCGGGTGAGCACATTTTCAATTAATTTTCATTTTTGGGTGAAATATTTCTTTAAGCAATATCACACAATTGTCCTTGTTACTCAATAACATGTAGAAACTGTCCAAACCTTGACGTAAAACGGAACCCTCTTTGTTTTGTTTTACTTATTTACATATATTTATTGTCTGTTTAAGTATTGGAGGCTTTATCAGCACAGCTGTAATCACCTTCGACCAAATTAAGCTGCATAAGGCCATAACACACTCTTTATTATGTGATATTGCTTTAATTATTATGATTTTAATCATATATGTTTTGATAGACTGTGATTGGCTATTGATGCACAGTATTATTGACACAGGCTACATATAAGTTGCTGTAAACTGCTTCGAACCCTGTGTAAGTGGCAGGAAATCAAAATAGAACACAAGGTATAGCTCAAGATACAAAAGCCAGTGAGTTGTTTGAACATGACTGTGTGAGCCCCTTCTCAGATTCTCTTGATTCTTTCATCACACTCTGCACGTGGATGCCAGCAGATTGGAGTGTAGGATGTAGAGTAAATATTCAGAAAGTGGAGGCAGAGAAGTCAAAGGCACTGACAGCACTGCAGAAAATTTCATTTTGAGATTCAAAAATTCCACAAGAACGGTGATAAACAATGTAGCACAGATACATCTTAAGGTGCTGACATACTTCCTGCCTTTGTTCTTGCAGGAACTGTCTTGGTTACAATAAGATGATGTTAACGTCAAGTCAAATGCCTACATTATCTGTAGGCTACGTATTTGTATGGAAAAATAAAAAATAAAAATCCAGGGTTTGTTCTTAAACTTGTTCTAATATTAATACATTAGCCCTCAGTTTCACAGACAAGGCCTAGTCCCAGATTAAAATGCATGTCTGGGCTGTTTTAACTGAAAGAAACACATCTACAAATATCTCAGTGCCATTGTTTTGTCTCAAGATGCACACGAGTAGTGTTATTTTCAAAGGAACATTTATAAAAGATACTTAAATGTCCTAATTGAACTATGGCCTAAACCTGGCGTAGTCTAAGCCCTGACAGTGAAGCCAAGCCTAGGAGTATTGTCAGTGATCAACTGGGATAAGTTTTCATTTGAAAAAATATTGAAGATCATTAGTTTTGTTCATTAAAAACACATTTGTATGCACGGTTAGTGAGAGAAACCCAATGACTTTCTAGTTATATATTATGCACATAATAGTACAACAATAAAGCTACAGATTGTGAAATTAAGCATTAAACAACTTAGCATGCTACATTTCTGGCATTAAAGGGATAGTTCAACCAAAAAATGAAAACTAATTTTTTCATAATTTTTTCATCATTCTCATCATTTTCTCACCCTCAAGAAGATGTTTTAAAGAACATGGTTAACAGTTGCTTGCCATTTGACTTCCATAATATGAAGTGCTTTTTGGAGCTTGACAGCCCTTGGTTCTCATCCACTTTGATTGTATGGAAAAGAGCAGCATGAACATTCTTCAAAACATCTCCTTTTGTGTTCCACATAAGAAAGTCATACGGGTTGGGAACAACACGGGAGTAAGGAAATGATGACGAAATGTTTATTTTTGGGCGAACTACTTGTTTAATGAAAGAAAATTGAAAAGCGTCAGTGTGTGCGCACACAAATCTAGGTCAGTGAATCGCCATTCTAATTACCTTCTGCTAATGTGTTGTGCTTTAATCCTGCGCTATTGCTGGATGGACGTGCAGATTACAGCAACCTGCTTTTTTTCAGCAAGCACACACACACACACACACACACACACACACACACAGGTTTGTTTTTATGGTTTATGGGGACTCTCCATAGGCGTAATGGTTTTTATACTTTACAAACCGTATTTTCTATTGCCCTACACCAACCCTACCCGTCCTCATAAACCACATAAACATGCACACACACACACACACACACACACACACACACACACACACACACATACATCCTCTCTTCACTCTGATTCCATGCTCTGACTGAATGCATCAGAGACCTGTGGAAATAGGGCATGTTTGTTTACAAACACACTGTTTCCTTTAAGGTCTGTTAGTGAGAACATAATTTTGGAAATGCTTAAGCATCGAACAGAGCAAACGAGCACCTCCAGACTCGTATGTTTTGCTTCCTCTTCATTCATTTATATTTCAAACCTTTTTGATTTGTGGGTTAAGGGCAATAAATAAGTCATTAGACTCCATGTGGAAGCTGTTCGACCGTGTGCGTATGTGTGTTTGTTAGCGCATGAATCTGAGCACGCTCCCTCGTTACCCTAAACAATTATCTCCCACATAAAGCCAGACGCCAAAATCTAGTAGCCCAGGGCATAACACATCATCACCCCTTCAAGTCTGTCAGTAAAATCCGTGCAGCACGATCTGTTGTTACGCTGCAAATTGCGAGTCAGCTGTGCCTTTCAGGGTTGAGAAGTGTGACGGGAAAAACAGCGCGACGCGAGGACAGGGTACCACAGGGGCATGGCAGCATCTAATGGAATCACAGGTGGCAGTGGCAGAGTCCCTCCGTGGCTGTGGCTCTGTCTCAATTATAGTCTAACCCCATGCGGCAAACAGGCCTCCTTAAAACCCTCCTCGAACAAATAATTCATCATCAGCTGCTCCTTGCTGGAGACCTGCAGGCTGACAAAAGTTAGCTTAGGATCCAGAGAGTGAATCATGCAATTCCCTCCAAGGCTCCAAAAATAGCAGAAGCCAGGAATGGCATACTATTGTATGCCTGGGCTTAATGAGATGCTGAGGATATGAAACCACATTAAGCAAAATGCGCAAGCAAAGTGGCATTTCAGTTTTAATGATTTGAATAGCTCGGCGTTTAAATACCTGCTACACATTTATTATAGAAAAAAAAAATCAGCTGCACTGCATCATTGTATGTATACGAATGAATTTATCATTGAGTTTTTATTGTCTTTCCAACCTACAGAGATATTTACATGCATTTCATGAACACTCATGCACAGTTTATTTTTGTGGGTCTCCTTGATATTTCATCTCTTTCTCCTAGACAGTGAGTTTA